AGAAAGGTGCGACATGGCCCTGCAGGTGACAGATGGAGCAGAGGGCGGGCACAACGCGGGGCACTGCTGCAGATCCCCCTCTCCTGTGATCTGTAAACCCAGCCCCTGGGATCACTGATAATGCCACAGGTACAGGGCGCTGCCTCCGGGGAACTCTCTGGGGACCCGCAGGGATCCCCTCCACGGCCGCCCCGTCGGCGCGGAGCCGCTGCTCCACCTGGCGGCCGCGATCCTCCGGCTTTGCGGCGCATCCCGGGCACGGAAAACTCCGCGTTTGAATTCGGGTTTGGGTTTTCTTGCGAYCCCAGAACCAAGCGCTGCCGTTCCTGTGCCGCTGCCCTGAGTGGTGTGGCCCCCCCGGGAGAGCGGAGAGGGGACAGCCGGGCTCCCCCCGTCCGGAGCCTCCGCTCCATCCGTCGGATGTCCCGGGCAGAGCCTCCTCCCTTCCCGGCGCGGCTCCGGGGAACGCTTGGGAAAAGCTCCGGGCGGGCGCCGAGGGGCGACGGAGCTGGCCCTGCCTCGCCATCACCCGCCGCTGTAAACAACCGGAATAAACCGAGAGCCTCCCCTTTCCCCTTTCCCACCCTGCCCGGAGAGCGAGGACGGAGCAAACGGTGCCTGCGGCTAAGAACCGGCTTCGTATCCAAATAAACAGCTGCTTTTCCACTGATAACGCTTTACCCTCTCCCCCCTCCACCCCAGACACCCACTCGGATCAAAGGGGCTCTGGGAACCTTGTGGCAGGGAACAGTCTGGGCGGCTGCTGTGTCCTTCCCACAGCCCCGGCCCGGGACAGGGCCGTGCCCCCGMGGGATAACGGGCCAGAACCGGATGAGCGCGGCGAAGAAACCTCTGAGATGYCGGTGCCCGGAGGAAGGATCCAGGCAGAGGATCCGAGGGGAAAGCCCTGGAGCAGAGCAGGCGGGGGGAGTGTCACCGGCAGAGACCGGCTGTACTCCAAAACCGCCCCATAGGCGCTCAGCCCCGCAGCCCCAAAAATCCCGTCCGKCCGCAGGTGCGGAGCCGCGGCCGCGCATCCCCCCGAGCGCACAGGTGCGGCCGGGATGGGGGGCGAGGCTTGGCCGGGTGTGCGCGGAGCCCGCCGGGGCCCCGGCGCTGCYCTTTGTCCATTGATCCGCGATCGGGAGCCGCAGACAGMGCGGCGGCCCCGCGGGTAATTGGGGCTCCGGGGCCGTGACCGCGGCTGCCCCCCCTCGCCCCTGCGCTCCGCGGGGGCAGGGCCCTAATTGGGAGCCGGGGCCGGGGCTCGGCCCGCTCCGCTTTGTCCCGGGTGCGGAGGCAGAGCGGCGGCAGAACGGTGCCAGCCCGGCGTAAAGAGCTGCCGCCCCACCGCCAACCCGCTGCCCGCCCCGTCGGACCGGGGCTCCCCTTCCCCGCGCTCGGCCCGTCGGGGCTGGCAGGTGCTCATGGAAATGCTCCGATGGGGGATTTGGACCTGTGCGCGGCACCGACAGGTCCTTGAAGCCCCCAGGGTTAGGGGAGCTCCAGGTGTGGGGCAGGATCCTGGCACCGCGGCATGCCAGCTCCATGGCATCATTCTCAGCCCCTCACCTCTTCTGCAACTTTCCGTACTTAAGGRAGATTTATAAAACAACAGATCACAACAGGGCAAGGGAGATRGTTTTAAACTAAAAGAGAGATTTAGATTAAATGTTGGTAGGAAATTCTTCCCTGTGAGGCTGGGGAGACCCTGGCACAGCTTGTCCAGAGAAGCTGTGGCTGCCCTTGGATCCTGGGAGTGTCCAAGGCCAGGCTGGATGGAGCTTGGAGCACCCTGGACTGGTAGAAAATGTCCCTACCCACAGCAGGGGTTTGGAGCAAGATGGGTTTTAAGATTCCTTCCAACCCAAACCATTTTTTGGCTCTCATATTCTGCCCCACACCCGTGACCCGCCGTGCCCAGTGGCACCGGGATAACACACGAACAGCAGCCCAGGTGAGGGGTCCTGCAGAGCCCCAGGTGAGGGGTCCTGCAGAGCCCCAGCGGCTGCACAGGGATGGAATCAGCGGCAGCGCTCCCCCTCTGCCGGGCTGCGGGATGCTCTGCCGTGAGCTCCTGTTCCTGTTTACAAACACCGGCCCGTGGAGCCCTTCCAGCAGCGCTATTGTGCTCCGCGGCCAAGTCAGCCGGGGTTTGTCCACCAGGCCCACGGAACCCTCAGGGCAGCTCTGCTATTTTTAGCGTCTGGCCAAGCACCTCGTGCATTTGGCTGAAGAAATTCAGAACTCACCGCTAACCCTGGYGAAGGTTTCGGTGTTTGAGTACCTCGCTGCCCCGGTGGCACGGCACCAGCGTTACCTGCTGGTTAAATAYCAGCTCCAGATGTCACCAGAACATTCAGAATTTCGTTTTCGTGACTCAACGGTGACCACAGTGGCATGGCCAAGGCAGGTTTTGCCGGGTGCAGAGCAGCAGAGCCTCGGGGRTGCCGTGCCGGGCGTGCCCCCGCGGGGCCTCCCAGCGCCTTTTCATAGCTGAGGAAAATAAATCYCAGCACAGTGCGTGACTAATCGGTAGCTGCTCATCGAGCTGCTTCAATAGGGCTTCTCAGAGCCTGGGGATGGCGAGGGCAGCCGTGGAGCAGCTCGGCTCCTGCTGAAACTGCCTGGCTGGGGGGCCCAGGCCCTGCTCCCCGCCTTTGGTCACCATCGTGAACAGCAGAACGTTTTTCCCCTCCTCATGAAGAGTGGCTTTGTGCTCGGTGGRCAGGTTGGGRTGTGCTTGGCCCTCAAGAAGGAAGWGATGTTTAAACACTCACTGTCCCTCAGAACTGAATGTATGGCAGGGAGAATTCATCAACCCTGACCCGCCAGGATGGCAGGGACCCATTCTGAGAGTGCCCCCATGTTCTGCAGCATGGTCACCATCTCCCCACTTGATTGTCCCAGCCACCTTTGCCTAAATGCAGCACGGTTGGGTTTGAGGGAAAAGGGCCAGAGGAGCCCTCAACCTGGCACAGGTTGTGCCCGCTCACTAAAAACAAAGGCCACGAAATTGCTGCTCGCTCTGCGTGATTATTTAGAAATAATCCTGCAAGCCTCATTTTATTCACGACACTTCCCTCCTCCTGCTTGAACCATTCGCACCCTGCCGGTCCCCCCTGCAAACAGAACTGTCACAGAGGCAGTGCCTCCTCTGCCGCCGTCGAGGAGCTCAGCCTCAGCACCTCTCCTCAAACACTGCGGCGTTCAAAGCCCCTTCCCTTCCCGCATCCCCCGGGCTGGGCGGGGGCTCCCGGAGGAGCCGCGGGACCCGGGCCCGCCCCGTCGGGGCCGCGGTGGGTGCGCGGCGGCGCCGGCAGAGGGCGCCCTTTGCCCGGCGCTGCGCCCCAGCCCGAGGGGGCCGCGCCCCCGCCGCGCCCGCGCCCGTAAATCCCGGCTCGGGAGAAGGGTAATTGGTGAGGAAAGCGCCGCTCGCGTCCTCCGCGGCCGCGCCCCGCCACGGCCCGACCGGCTCCGGGCGCCGGGGGAGACGGGGAGACTTAAAGCCCACTCCCCCCGGCAGCCCCGTCCCCGACGGTACCGGCGCCGCTCCGTCACCATCCCGGCCGGTACCGGCGCTGCTCCGTCACCATCCCGGCCGGTACCGGCGCTGCTCCGTCACCATCCCGGCCGGTACCGGCGCTGCTCCATCACCATCCCGGCCGGTACCGGCGCTGCTCCATCACCATCCCGGCCGGTACCGGCGCTGCTCCGTCACCATCCCGGCCGGTACCGGCGCTGCTCYGTCACCATCCCCGCCGTTACCGTTGTACCCGGGTCATCCCTTCCCTGTCACCCCTTCCTCATGACAGCCGGGGCCGCTCTGCCCCGTTCACTCCATCCCCGTCGGTCCCGGAGCGCGTCCCCGCGGCCCCGGCGGGGCGGTACCGGCGGTAGCGGGGGCAGCGCGGCCAGGCCCGCACCCGCGGAGGGTCCCGGTGCCGCATCCCTGCCGCGCCCCCGCGGTTCCCGTGAGTCCCCGGTGCCTCCGCGCTCCCTCCCCGCGCACCTGCCGCTCCCTCCCGCTCACCCGGGGCATTTCCACCCCTCCCCGTCAGCCCCGGCTCCCAGCGCTGCGCACCTGCGGAGGAGCGGCGGCCCCGACGGGGCGGAGCGGCCGCGGGAATGAAACAGGCGGGAGCCGGCAGGGCTTCTCCGAGTAGAATTTTTTTTTTATTGAAAGATGTGAGAATTCATCAAAACTGAACAGACAGATACCCGAGTAACCAGCACGTTGCAAATCATGTATCTTTTTATTTTAAAACAAATATAGAGCACAGTCCTGTGATATTTAAATTTATTATACTTTTTTTTTTTGTTCTGGAGTGAAAAATAAAAACCTGAGGTTTATTCCTGCATTCTCTATACCCCGCACTGTAGCAATATTTTAGTTATGTTTTGGATTCGTTAGTTTATATTTTTTTCCTTGAAAAAGTCCGTTAAAGAATTGAAATCTTGGTTTCAGTAACTCCAAAAATTGGTTTTTTCGGTGGCACATGATTGTCCTAGAGAACAGGCGGGATAAACAATATTTTAAAACACAGAGAAACCGATATCTCCTTCAATCACAAAGAGCTAAATAGTTTTCATTTACAATATATATGTTCATGTAAAATGAAAAAAAAAAAAACGAAAAAAACTTATATGCGAGGAGTTAAACTCTAAATATTATGTACACACCAATGTACAACTCTGAATAAATTAATACCAATTTGCATATTCTGGGATCCTTATAGCTTATTTACACAAATTACCATTTATTTCATAAATATCTGCCCAGGTACCCACGAGGCTCCCCCCGCCGTGCCCGCTCTGCGCGGTGGCGGCTGCCGAGGCGGTTTGGTTTCCATCTTCTGTTCCTTATCTCTTTTTTCTTTTTTTTTTCTTTTTCTTTTTAAATCATTTTTTTCCTTGCACAGACGAAGGTTTGGCCCCTCTCGCTCCCCACCCGAGGCAGGGGCTGGGGCTGCCCCGTCCATCAGGTGTCTCGGCACCAGCTCCCCCGAGCTGCCCGGTGCCCGGAGCAGGGAATTGGGGGGTCCTGGGGGCTCCGTGGCCTCGCTGGAGTGGGGGGAGCCGCTCCCAGCCCCACAGCAGAAGGGGTGGGCAAGCCCTGCGCTCCGGCTGCTCCCTCCTGGCTCTGGGGTGGTGGGGCCGCTTGGCCGGTGGGGTCCGTCCCTCTGCTCCAGCACCCCGCTCCCTGGCTGCTCCCACCCCTCGCTCCACAATAAATATTTATACTGTGCTGTACAAAATACCAGTGCTTCTCCGCCCCGCCGGGAGGGCTCATCGCCCGCCCCGCCGGTCACTTCGGGGACTCCCTGCCGGGCGACAGCTCCCGCTGGCTCTCCAGCCCGCTCACCAGTCTCTGGATGTTCTGCAGTTCATTGAGGGACTCCTTGAGGGAGCCCTTGGGGGAGGCAGCGGGGCGCTGGCTGCCCCCCTTGTGCAGGGGCACCTCGGGCAGGGGGCTGGATTCGCGGCTGCTGCCGGCCTTGGAGCCCTCGGAGCCGGGGTTGAGGCTGGCGGGCAGGCCGGTGGTCAGCAGGTTGGTGCTGGGMGGGATGGTGACCGGGAGCTGGTAGGGGCTGAAGCGCAGGCGGGGCCGGCTGCTGCCCAGGAAGGGGTTGCGGGACAGCGGCCCGGCGGCGGCAGCGCTGGTGGCCGGCATGGCCGAGGCGGCYGCTGCGGCCGCTGCCATGTAGGTGTAGGGGTAGGGGAAGAGTCCGCCGAAGGTGGGCATCGGGATTCCCTGTGGAGAGAGAAAAAAGGCTCAGAGCTGGGCTGGTTGTCTCCTGGCTCCCCCCTCCTGCCTGCCCCTACAGCTGTGCTTCCCAAAAAAGCCAAGGCACAGCTGGGACACCCCAGTGTCATCCTAAAAACACAGAGTAGGGTTGTCCATGTGGCACAGGCTGAGGGAGGGGGTACAGCCCCATCCGCCCCATCCGCCCCARGCTGGTGGCACCGAGCACAAACCCCGCTCTGAGCTCTGCCCCGTCCCCTCCCCGCACGCTGCATGTCCCTGTCTGCGCAGCATCACAGCCCCTTAACCACATTAAAACACATTGTTAAGCAGGATCGATAAATTAGGGGAGTTCAAAGACATCTTTGTGTGTTTCATCAGAGGGGATGGAAAAGGCAACAGCAGCGCAGGCGTTGTGGGAGCTGTTTCAGAGCAGACAGGAAGACAGGGAGCTGCTGGATGGGGACAGCCAGGTCAGGCAGGGCCACAGCTCCTGACTCTGCCCTTGACTGTGGAGGAGCCACAGCAGCTGCAAAAAAAATCGAGATTCCTCCTCGAATTAACTCTGAAGCCAACCTTCGAAACATCCCCCATGTTCTGCCTGTGCCACTCCTGGCAACATGTCGGGGTTTGTCACCCCCTTGTCCCCACAGGCTGCAGGGGCCTGGGGGAGGCTGGTGGCACCAACAGCTCCTTCCCTGCGATGGGGTCACCCTGGATGTCCCCAAACTGGGGGTGATACTGGCCAGGCCTGACCTGCATCCCCGAAGTGCTCTGCTCGCTCAGGGAGCTTTTTGTGAGGAGAGAAAGAGGAGATTGGGATAGGGATGGGGACACAGGGCGGGAACAGGGGCTTACCTGAGAGGCCAACATGTGCTGGGAGAGGTGGAAAGGGAAGGGGGTGGCCGTCCCTGCCGCGCTGGGGGCAGACGAGAGCGCTCCGTTCTCCAGGCTGCCCCCGCCGGTCACCGAGGCCAGCAAGTGTCCCATGCCCATGGCAGAGAAGGCGCCGGGGGCCATGGCGAACTGTCCCGGGTGGATGAAGAGGGGCTGCCCGGCGCCCAGCGGGCTGAAGAACTGCTGCCCGTGGAGGCCGGAGAGCGCCAGGCTCTGCAGGTGCCCGGCGCTCAGGTGCGGGGGGCTGTCCGTGTGCACCATCAGCGGGGCGAAGGCCTCCTTGCCCAGCGCGCCGCCCTCCGTGTCCTTCTTGCCCGGCTCCGTCTCTTTSCTCCGTCCTTCCACCTTGTCCTTCTCCAGGCCCCGTGCGCCGAACAGGCCCTCGCCAGGACCCTCCCGGGGGGATGCGCCATCCTTGGCTTTCTCCGGGCTGTGCCTCTCCTTGCCCCGCTCCTCCGGGCACCGGGGGCTGCCGCGGGGCGTCGCGTCCTCCCCGCTGGGGCTGGCTGCTGCCACCRGCCGCTCCTCGGGCACCTTCTCCACCTCGGCGTCGCTGTCGGSCCCTGGCTTCTCCTCTGCGAGGGGACGGAGGGGCAGAGGGTCAGAGCAGAAGCACCCAGGGGAGAYGGGGAAGGGGTCACTCCCGAGAGCCCCGGAGTCAGGGGGAGGTTGGGATGGTTATTAATGGCAGAAACTCGTTTTGGGGGCAGAAACGGGCCCTCGTGCTGCGGTCGCTCTGGGGAAAGGGGATTAACAACAGCAAGCCCTGTTGCCGTGCCAAACAGGAAAAACGTGTTTGATGGAGAACCAAAATCTATCACAGCATCGCTCTCGTCAGCTGCGAACTCCGAGAGGGCTGCGAGTGGGGATGAGGAGAGCGGGTAGTGGACAGAGGGGAGGAAATGGTCCTGTGTACATTTAATTACATGGAGCTGATCACCAGCGCCGTGGATTTATTCCAAATGTGCAGGTTGAGACAGGTTAAAGAGGCAATTTTAAGACAGGGAGTATGGTACAGGCTCTCCTAAAGGGGGTTTAATTTGAAAAACCCCATTGAGCTCTCAGAGGAGGAAAGGGGATGCGAGRCGAGGGGCTGAGCTGAGCCCCTGCCTGAACGGCTCCACTAAACGAAAAAAGCCTTTTGGTGCGGGTGAGGTGAAGCTCTGCAGGCTGGGGCAAATATTCGGGGAAGCCTTTGAAAGTGGAGAGGGGTGTAATAAACCCTCCCTCCAGCCCGGGGTGGGGGGTTGCAGTTTTGATGAAGGTTTGCAGGGAATCGAGCTGGTGGAAAGTTTAAAGAGCAGATTGATAGTGCGGCGAGACAAAACCCAGCATCGAAAAACTGCAACGTGGGAGCTGCTGGTTTATTTTCATTTACCAGCTTGAAGCCCTGGAGYTACAACATTTTCTCCTCTTTCAAATATATTAATTTTTTCTTTCTTTTTCTCTTTTTTTGGGGGGCAGTGTGAGATTCCCATGGAAGGCAGGGCACACTCCAGTGAGGAGCCAGGCTAACATGGCGAGCACACAGGCTGTTTTGACATTTCTTCTTGTATGAGATAAATACAACACATCAGGTGTCTAGAGGATCAAATATATATTCAGGATCAAATATATATTCAGGATAAAATATATAAAGAGCAAAACGTTGCAATTCGTGAATGCCGTTTGAATTTTCTCTGCTTTTGTCCTTTCAACCCTCGGATTTCCTTGTGCGCATCCCTGCAGTGTTTTCCCGATGTTTTGCCTCACCACCCCCAGAAAATCAGCACGGGGSAGCAGAACCCTGACGTTCGGGGATATTTGGGGACCGCGACTCCTGCGTTACCTCTGCCGCTGCCCTTGAGGCGCAGGGGGCTGGGGAGGGCACCCACGGGCGAGTGGAGGGCATCCCGCACGGCCGAGGGCTCGCAGGAGGAGGCGTCCGACTCGCCGCCGTCGCGATCGGGCTTGCAGGGCTCCTCGTACATCCGCAGGGACGGCAGGGAGAGCTGCTTCCTACGGGCGAGAGGCAGCGTCGGGCCCCGGCCGTCCCCCCGCGGGCGCGGGGCCGGGGGAAACGGGAGCGCCCCTTACCTCTTCTCCCGCCGGCCATTGCCCGTGTCCCGAAAGCCCTTGGCGAAGGGGTTGTTATCGATTTTCAGCTGGGTGATCTGCGAGGGGGGGAGAAGGAGAGAGGGGGCGGCGTGAAGCCCTGGCCGCTCCCCCCGCGCCGCCGTCGGGGAGCCCGCGGTGCGCTGCGCAGGCTGCGGAACGCGCCGCGGCCCCGCGTTAACACACCGCATGCTTTATTAAAAATGATGCTGAGGTTTGGGCTTGAATTATTAATAGCGTCTTAATGATAGGAAGTTATTTTTCACGGCCCCCCGGAGGGAAGATGGCGACTGAGCTGCGCGGCGCTGGTTAAAAGCTATTCTTATCCCTGCCAGCCACGGGCTGCCGGGGCCGGCGACATCAGGGCGCTCAATAATGCATGGCTCTGAAATACGGCCCCGAGAGGGGCGCTGGAAAAGGGCCCGGCTGCCCGGCCCCGCCGCGACCCCCGGCCCGAGCATCCCCCGGCCCGAGCATCCCCCGCCCGACGGGGCCCACGGCCGGCGGCCGCCCCGCGCAGCTTGCGGCGGGCGAGCAGACAAAGTGCTCTTTAATCGATTGTGACTCTTCGCCATAAACTTTACGAGGGAAACAAGCCCACCAGGACCCTCAGACAGAGCTGTCAATTAGCATCAGCAGCCAGGGGTGGAGGTGGGGGTCAGCTTTTGGGTTAAAACACACACACASGCTGCTCTTGGAAGGGGACGGCAGAGGTTCTCCGCTCCCCATCTCACTCTCCTGGCTCTGCCCGCTCGCAGGGCGACACTTGCTAAATCACGAAAGCAACTAAAATTAGCTTATCTGCCTCTGTTTTTTGGCTCCTCCAGAGCCCTGGGCACCTTCTCGGTGAGGCTGCCCAGGCCTGGTGCTTCTCTCCCCAGCCTGGGCCTGCAGCAAAAACTCCCAAGACCCACAAAGGCGCCACAAAACTCCATGAGGGAATTATTAACAGCAATCCTAGAAATACTGACAACAGCATCAACATTAGCACTAAAAATTGCAACAATACCAAAAGCAATATGAGGGTGCATCCTGCTCTGAGGGCTTGAGGTTTAACCTTCCTCCTGTTGCTGCCTTTTGGCCGCTCTGCCCTGAAATACCTCACAAAACCGCGCACACACAAAAATATCCTGATATAGGGTGAGGGATGGGACAAGGGTGAGAACAGGGATAGGGACGGGGGTGAGAACAGGGACAGGGGTGAGAACAGGGACAGGGACAGGGACAGGACAGGGACAGGGGCTGCTCGTCCCTACCTTGTCGTTCTGGTAGGCAGTGACAGCGATGAAGTCGGTCTCGGGGAACACGTAGGTGCGGAAGGTGCTGTAGGGCAGCTTGAGGATGTCGTTGGCCCGGACTATGTGGAACCTGGGCTGGTACTTGTGCATGGAGTTCAGGATGGTCTGGGGGGGCGAGAGAGAACAGCCCGCGGCTGCCGTCAGCCCCACACTCTGCGGGATACTCACATCCAGCTCCCTCCCTGAAAAAAAAAATCCCTTTTCTCCCGAAAACAACCCAAAAAATTACACCCCACAAATTCACCGTGAGGAAAGAATTCCGGCGGATGCCAGAGGGAGTTTTCTTTTCTTTTTTTTTTTTTTTGTTGATACCATTGCAGGATCTGTCCCCAAAGAAGGAGGTCAGGCAACGCAGGCACAACAGCATCTTTGCGGGTGTTAAGCACGGCAATAAAGCAGCAGAAGGGATCTCCCTGTTTTATTACAACCCTGCAAACGCGAGGCGACTTTTCGACACGTTTCTCACCGCTTTTCATATTTCCGTCCTTAAAAATAAATTGCTATCCCTCACCACCACAAAAAAAAATAAAGAAAAAAAAAAGCACGTTAAAAGGCTCTGGGTTAGTGTCGGGGGCGGCAGGAGCCGGTGCCAGCCCCAGCCAGCGCCTGCGACCTGAAAGGAGCGTTTCACCACGAGCCATGGCAAATTTATGTCTCGGAGCAACGTTGCAGAAGGAACAGACTCTTTTTTTTTTTTTTTTCCAACCAGGTGTCTGAAAGCCTCGCCAGCACTCAAAGCCGTTCTACACCCTCTCGTTTTACTTTTTTCTTTAGTTTGGTTTGTTGTTTTTCTTTTTAAAACCCGAATTCCCCGTAATTTGGCTGAGGATTTTAGGAAGCGGCTGAACACCCCAAGCCGCGCCCCTGGGGCCGCTCCGACCCCTTGGCCYTCGCTGCCTGTTTTCCTGCCCGATAGCTTTTAAATAATTCCCCAACCTGCTGTGGTCGGACTGAAATGCAGAATTCACCGCCCAGAATTCGTAGAGGAACGGCAAAAGCTGGAGTAATTATTGTCAAATAACGTCAGCCAAATGGCTAAATAATTATCACTTCATTTCGGTTTAGAAGGTAATAAAAAAAAAATCCCCCCTTTTTTTTCTTTCTTTTTTTTTTTTTTTTTAACCCAAGCAATAATCACCTGCTGATGAACTGTCGGATCGCTGTTATATTGATATAATCTAGATAGGATTTATCATGAAAATGGTGCAAAAAGTCTCATTCAGGCGTGCAAATCTGCATTCCTTTAAAAAAAATAATCATCCCTCTCTGACCAGATGGGCACTGGCTAAACCCTCATCTCCCAGATTTAACACAGTCCGGATTTTGGACAACGACAGATACCAGAAATCTTTAATTGAAGGAGGCGAACCGTTAAAAGCGCTGAATCAAACTAGTTTTTCACCAGTACAAAAAAAAGGAGATATTTTTTAGACTCCTTCTCTATCGATTTACCTTGCTGGCTATAAATAACCCCGCAATGTATTATTTAACAAAGACGCTGTTTCCTGCCTTAAGAGAAAAAAAATAAAAGAGAGAGAGAGAAAAAATTTAAAAAGAGTGGAAAAAAAATAAAAAGAGCGGAATAAAAAAAAAAAAAGATGGGGAAAGTTCTCCGGGAGGTGCGGAGCTGCTTTGAGCTCCCCACCCCAGTGGGGTCCCGCAGCCCCCGCAGCGCCGCTGCCCCGCGGCTCCGCCGGGCCCGGCTCCCCGCTAATTACCGTATCAGCAGCGCTGCACGATGAACTTTCCCTTTATCGCCCCAAATGCTTGCTCAGAGGAAGGAGAGCTGGCTGGGGCGCTGGGATTTCCCCCTCCGTGCATTCCCGCAGGATTGCGCTCCTCTCGCCTTCTGACCCTGCTTTCTGCGGGTCTTTGCAAACGGCCAACACGCTCTGCTTTCTTTCTTTCTTTCTTTCCTTCCTTCTTTCTTTCCTCTCTCCCTCTCTCTTTTTCCTTTCTTTGTTTATTTTGGTTGCTAGCTTTTTGACTTAATTTGGTTTGTTTTGTTTTACCTCCTTTAGGTGATGCAGATATAACATCGATAGGGAAATAAATAGGGATTTTCAGAGGCAGATGGTGCCAACGATTCCAGCCCTTCTCCGGCTGCGGGAGCCCAGCGCAGGTGCCGCCGGTCCCGGCTCCGCTTCCCCGGCCCGGGGGGCACCGACAGTTCCTGTCCGGCCTCCGCCCCGTCGGGGCTGCCCTCGCTGCAGCCTCCGCACGGCCTCGACCACCTCCCTATCCTCTCCCTAAATATCCATATATCCGCATATCCACCTCCCTAAATTCCTCTCCCCACGGAGCCTGGAAGGCCGGGCAGAAGCGGCAGGACAGGCCGTGGAGGCCCAGGGCACCCCGAGGCTGCCCGCAGCCCAATCCTCCCCTTTCCCCCGGAGATTGGGCGCTGCCCCTCGGTGCCGGGCAGGACCGGGAGCTGGGGGGCTGCGGGACAGCCAGGCCACCGCAAGGCCCGGCCAGGCCCAGCCCGACCGGGCTGGAGGAGCCGCTAAAAGCCCGTGGTTCTCCCCAGGAGGATCACGGGCAGCTCCCGCACCGAGCAAACCCCGCACCGGGCAAAGCCAGCGCCCGTCCGGGGTCTCTGCCCGCCGATCCCTGCCCGGGGGGCTCCGCTCTGCCCCGCAGCCTCACTTACAAAGCCGTGCTTATCCGAGATGTTGTTGGTGAGCTTGAGCTTGTGAAAGGCAACAGGTTTGGCCATCCACTGCTCCCCCGTGGCCGGGCTGTCGGGGTGGATGTACATGCGCTTGGGCATCTCCGGGTCGGCCTTGCCGGCCACCATCCAGCGAGAGTTGTGGAACTTGTACCGGCAATCGTCGGCCGCCACTATATCCATCAGCAGAATGTACTTGGCCTTCTTGTCCAGGCCGCTCACCCGCACCTTGAACGGGGGGAACATCCTCCTGCGGAGAGACCCAGAGCGCTACAGGGCCGACCCCCGACGGCTGCGGCCCCACAGAGCCCCCCGCACCGCCCGGCCGCGCCTGCTGCTCCCAAACCACCATCTTTTAGTTTAGTTCGCTGAGGATTCCCTGCCTTCCTCATGTCCCACCTCGTCTCACCCCGCTGTGCTGCCCACAGCGTGGCAGAAAGCAGGGAAAAAGCTCAAAAATCCCATTCCGGCAAGTAAGGAGCAAAATTATGTATTTTTTTTTCCTCCTGTTTCTCTGCCCTTCGCTGACCCGCTCGCTCAGCACCCCCGGCTGCCTCCCCCGGGCTCGGGGCCACGGGCAGGGCCGGGGACGACCCCGGACGCGGGGAAAGTTTGGCAGGAGGGAAGGAAGCGGCGGGAAGCGGCGTAAACAACGGGAGGGGTGGGGGTTCCGAGCGCATAATTAACGTGCACGAATTTAATTTGGGATGGCGCTCGGAAAAGTAATAACGGGTGGGGGGAGCGGTGACGGAAAATCTCGGAGAAGGGTGGGGAAACACCTCCGAAAAACTCCAGCGATCGAAACTGCCCGCGTTAATTCACGGGGACGGATGGGAAGCGGGATGGAGCGAGGGGCGAGGGCGCTGCGCGGCCGCGCAGGTGCGGGGCGGGCTGGGGGGGCTGCGCGGGGCTGCGCGGGGCCGGCTCTTACCTCCCAGACTTGGTGATCACCATCTCGGTGCCCAGCTTGTGAAACTGGTCCCAAAGCTCTTTGGCTTCCAGCGTTACTTTGGGGTCGTCCTCGACCTCCTCCTCGGGCTCCAGGCTTTTGAGCGAGCGCAGATGGGCGGCTTGGTGGTGTCCCAGGGCCGAGACGTGCAGCCCGGCCTCGGCCGCCCCGGCCAGCCCCGGGTCCGGCATGGGCTTCGCCAGCGCCGCCGGAGGCAGAGCCAGAGCCGGGAAAAAGGACGGCTGGGCGGCTGCGAGGAAAGCGGACATGGGGAAGTCAGCCGGCCGGGGTGCGTGGAAGGGATGGTAAGCCATGGCAGTCCCTGGGAAGGCTGGATCTCTCATCGGTGCATCCACAAATCCAGGAGAAAAACAGGGATTCCCTTTACAAAAACGCGCGTGTGTGTATTTGTTGTTTTCTATTTTTTCCCTCTCTCCTGCCCAGCGAACTCGCTCGAGTCTCTGGAAGAGGAAGGAAAATCAGCAACACACACAGACTCCAAAAAAAAAAAAAAAAAAAAAAAAAAAAAAAAAAAAAAAAAAAAAAAAAAAAAAAAAAAGGAAAAAAAAAAAAAAAAAAAAAAAAAAAAAAAAAAAAAAAAAAAAAAAAAAAAAGAAAAAGCGAGGCAGTTCCCGGCTCCTGGGACTCCCGGTCTGCGGAGGGGAGACAGTAGGTCCTTATTTTTTGTTGTTGTTGTTGCAGCGAGGGAGAGCGAGCGAGGGAACGAGCCCTCCCAGGAAAGTCCTTCCCGACACTAAAATAGAAACAAAAGCCGGGTCGGGGCT